ACCGGACCAGGAACCGGCAACGGGATCGCAACCCTCGGTGTTGCTCCCGCGCCTCGCTCAGCCAGTGAGCGGGAACCGGTCTGTATGTGGGATCCGAACCCTTGGGCGGGAGCGCCGCCGTGCTTCCCAAGCGGCGCACTATCCAGTGCACCACCGGGCCGGCCCCTGTTTGGCATTTTTACCATCCTCTTCCTTGGTTACACTTTTATCAGACCCTGTGAGAACCACAGTTTGTATAGTAAATTCATTTAAAAACTGTGTTTCAACTGTAAATGAGTATATGAAAAACAGATCAGAGTTAAACTATTATAAAACCAAAACATTGTAAATAAGAACACATACTACAAATGTCATTTGGGCTGAATTTTTTGCAAATTAAAGAACTAGCTTAAATGTCATCTCTTCAGCAAACCTTTCTGGCATGGGCTGAATTGTGCCCCCCGCTGCCCCCCCCCAATTCATATGTTGAGGTTTTAAACCCTAAATGTGGTTGTACTTGTAGACAGGGCCTTTGAGAAGGTAATTAAGGTTAAGTGAGGTCATAAAAGTGGGGCTCTAACCAACAGAACTGGTGTCCTGGTAAGAAGAGGAAGAGACAACAGGAGAGCACACATAGAGGAAAGACTCATCAGGAAGGCAGCCATTTAAAAGCCAGGAAGAGAGGTTCTCACCAGAAACCAACCCTTACTGGCACCTTGATCTTGAGCATTCAGCCTTCAGAACTGTGAGAAAATAAATTTGTTGTTTAAACCACTCAGTCTGTGGTATTCTGATATGGCAGCCATGCTATGAATTGAATGTCCCCCCAAAATTCACTGATGCTTGAATTGTGTCCCCCAAGTTTTATATATGAGACACTTGGCCCACACTGTGACTGTTTGGATGGTGGGAGATCCTATTATGGTAATTGAAAGGTGGCGCCTTGAAGAGGTGATTAGATTTGTAGGACCATGCCATAGTGAATGGATTAATAATGATGGTCAGGTGCACTGTTCTGAGGGCTTTAAAAGTAAAGCATGTTAGAGTCTCTCTCTCTCTCCTCTGCCATTTTCTACCATGTGAAACCCCTGAGATGCTATAAAGCCACCACCAAAGAAAGCTCTCACCAGATGTGTTCCCTGGACTTTGGACTTCCCACCCTCTGAAACTGTAAGCAACAAATTTTGTTTTCCTACAAATTACCCAGTTCCAGGTATTTTGCTATAAGCAACAGAAATGGACTAATACACAGCCCAACCTGACCAATATACCTTTCTTCAGTCCCACTCAACCACCCAGTCAATTTCCTCTATTTGGGTTCTCCCACAGAACTTTTTCCTTCACACCATTGACCCTTATGCATCTCTTTCCTCCACTAGTTAGCAATTACCTCAAGAATAAGAACTGTGCTTTATTATTTTTGTTTTCATTGACTCTGGTGCCTAACATAAAAATAAATGAACACCACCAACAATCAAAAATTCTTTTGTATTAATAAGCATCTTCCTAAAATACAAAAATGCCTCTAATAATGTTAAGAAACTTATTAGTCATTTATGTGTAATGGGATTTGGTTTAACTTGCTTTCCCCTACATTCCACTTGATAAAGGTTTTATTGAGTGAATGGGCCTCTTTGTTTGGAAAAAAATGATGTTAGATCATTTCAGTGCATAGAGTGGAAGTGTGAGTATTAGGGACTGGATCTTGAGGGGAAATGTGAGTAGCTGAAGTCCAGGGAATCCCCTTACCATCCTGTGCTACGTTCCTCATATCTGTTACCTCCAGGGCTAGACAGGCCCATCCTAATTCAAGCACAAGGTGTTTTTACATTATTAATACATATTTTTCATCAAAATAGGGTCCCATTCACTTAGTTATACCACAGATATGGATCTTTGACTCTGTCTTCTATAACTTATTTTTCTGTTTTAGACTTTTAAAGTGTTAACATTCACCAATTTTTTGTCCCCCTTTCTCTAAATCTAGATGTTCTCCCTGGGCAATTTCATCTCATGTCTGATGACTGTAAGGATTGTATCTTTAACTCTCCCTCATGAGCTCCATGTGCATATTTCATAGTCTACCTATCCAAACTCAATTCATTAGCATTCTCCTCCTAAACCACTTCCTCCTATATATTGCATATGTGCCCTAGCTCAGGCTGCCATAACAAAATACCATAGACTGGGTGGCGTAAACAACAGAAATTTATTTTCTTATTCTGGAGGCTGGGAAGTGCATGGTCAAGGTATGGCTAGTTTGTCTTTTGGTGAGGGCTCTCTTTCTGTCCTGAAGATGGCCACTTTCTCAGTACATCCTCACTTGGCAGAGAGATCACACAAGCTCTCTGATGTCTCCTCTGATAAGGACGTAAATCCTACCAGATCAGGTCTTCATCCTTAAGACCTTATTTAACCTTAATTACTTCCTTACTACAAATACAGCCACACTGAGGGTTAGGGCTTCAACATATGAATTTGGAGGGGACACAGTTCGGTACACCACAACGAGGATGCCAATTCTACACACTCATTCACCTAAAACAAGCACTTGAAACTTAGTGACTTTCTTTCCCTCACCAGACTAATCCCGATCATTGACCAAGTACTATCAACCTGTTCTTTTGGTAGCTCTTTCATCCATTTTCACCTCACCTTAGATCAGAATAACATCATCTTTCTTCTATACATTTGAAGTCTAAACTCTTCTTCCCACCTTCAGACTTATACAATTCCTTATTCACAAGCAGTCCATCCTCCACACTAATCCTTAAATAAACTTTCTCAAATGTAAACCTTATCATGTTTCTCTCCTAATTCAAAATGTTAAGGGAGTCTCCCATGGCTTTTCAGTGGTCTGGCTGCTGGCTACCTGTCTAGTTTCAAGCCTTGTAGTAGCATTCCAGGCACACTGAATGAATGCATGACTAATAGAGAGAATGGAACTGAATGATCTGAATGAATTAAATGCAGACAGGAAAAAACATCCCATAGTTGAAAATAGGAACTTTTACCATGACATATTTTTCCATCACCATAAAATCCTTTTGGACATGAACCACAATGGTAGGAACCAAAGGTATTAAGACACTCTACTCCTGGAAAGCAGGGCCCAGATTCACACTCATCAACATCTTCCTGGCAATTTTTGCCTATGTGAAATATAGATAAGAGTTCAAATTATTTAATCTGGAAAGCATTGCATGTCCAACTGGCTCATTATTTGATTTCTTTTATGCTTTATGTGTATCCTCATGACCCCAAAAGAACTGTCATGCATTATGAGAGAAGTGTGCTGTTTTTAAAACTTACTGTGTAATCTAATGTTAAACCAGACCCTTTAAGTACATAAGATTTTTCCTATAAATAAAGCAATTTAAGAAGCCCGTTAAGATTTAAGGCAAAAAGTTACCATATTATAGTAATTTGTACTTTGTGGAAAAAACACAGTAATTAAAAAAAAAATTAGAATGATTGCCTGCTTGGCTTAAAGACACTTGTTCAGTCCAGCTATTACATTGGCTGTGAAGATTCATGAAAAGTTTCCAATGAGGTAGGAAAGTCAGTCTTTCCTCGATAAAAAATTTTGGGATGAAATGGTGCTCGTTGAAATGCTTAATAACACATTTGAATGAATAAATTCAGTCATTAATGGATATTAGTCCTTATTACACTATAATTCATAAAGCAATCGATATCTGAATTCTTTCAAACATAGTCTGTAGTACAATAAAAAGAAAAGAGGTATCTATATTCATAGTTCCAAATGAAAAAAATTTTTATTTTAAAATGCTGAAGAAATTAGAAGACAAATTTTCTGCTTAGTTCTATTATAATGTTAAGAGGTGTCTTCAAGAAAAGTATCAGCTCAATTGTTGCCTATTTATTTATTTAATATTTACATCTACTTTACTTCAAAAATATTGATGTATGAGTTTTTTAAATGTCTTGGGAAATTAAACGTTGTCAGTCATAAACTTATTTCTAAAGTCAGACATTTCAAGACAATTGAGTTAGTGAATATGGTAATATTTTATTTGATTTCAACTACAATTCATGCCATGGTATTTCTAAGTTTAGAATTATCAATAAAATATCTATTAAATGATAATTTTTATATTTTACTTGGCATAGCTTCTTTATTATTCCATATTATATTATAATATTACATTTAAATCTACTTCTACTTACCAAATATAGGTAAAAATGTTAGGAAGCCTGCAAAACAGGTTCCTACTTTGCTATTATAGTTATAAAAAATTGGCAAAATTGAAAGAGTATTAAGCAATTTACAATTTAAAAAACCAAGAATATGTATCTCAAATATATTTGTGATGACTAGAATTTTTAAAGTGCATATTGAAATCTTTAGGACCACACATTTGCTAGAATAATCTGTAGATGAATGTTCCAAGAATCTTTCCTTTCTTTGTCCATATTCTAGTTTAGTTCATGAGGAACCAAAACTTACCTTTGAGCCCTGGTGGACAAGCACAAGAATAACTGTGAAAACCACTAACACATTTGCCAAGGCCACAGGGGTTTAATTGGCACCCACTGACATCCACTTCACAAAGACCACCCTGGAAGCCAGGCAAGCAGACACACAGGTAAACTCCACTCCCTGGAGGAAATTTCATATCAGATACACATGATCCACCATTTAAGCAATCACACGACTTCACAGTCACCTACAAAAGGGAAAAAGTAAATGCTTTATTTTGCAATAAAATGACCTTCAGTTATCACTGCAGAAATCATGACAGGCATGTATGTTTATGTGTATGTATGACAAAATCACCTATTTTTGCAATATATACAGTCAGCCCTTGGTATCTACTATGGGTTTTGCATCAATAGATTTAACCAACCATGGATCAAAAATATTGTTTAAAAAATTGCCTCAGTACTGAACATGTAAAGACTTTCTTCCTCATTATTCCCTAAGCAATACAGTATAACAACTATTTATGTAGTATTTACATTGTATTAGGTATTATAAGTAATCTAGAGATGATTTAAAGTATACAGGGGGATGTGTATAGGTTATATGCACATACTAAGCCAATTACATCAGGGATTTGAGCATCCGCTTGGAGAGGTCCTGGAACCAATCCTCATGGGTATCAAGGGACAACTGCATATATTTAATATAAAATGATATTTAAAAATAGTTTAATAAAGCAACTATGCCCACTCTCAAGAGCATAGCCACAATATAATTGCTAGGTATAAGTTTTTAAAAAAATGTTACAAGACGATCAGTTTCTATAATGCAAACAGGATAACTGGGAAAAAAAAAACATCATTTAAGTAGAAGGCAGTTAGGCACTGGCCAGGGTTATCCCCAAACTGTAGATCAAACAATCACTTGAATTACCAGCTTAACAGGACATAGAAAACCATTACCCTTCATATCATTGCTTCTGTGTGAACATCTGTTCCAAGTTACAAGTGAGTAAAGGGCACAAAAACAGTTTATACGTATTAAGAGTCCATGACTGACATACTGAAAAGTAAAATCGATAAAGGAATTAGAGTTGCTGATTAGTTATTCAACTGTTATATTTATAATCTTGATTCCAAATTCAACACCTTGAAGGAAAAGGGTATAATTACCAATTTTAGATTAATCACAGATCTTTCACACAGGTAGAAGTGAATGAGTTATTTATCCTTGTCATAGTTAAGTGGAGAATAAAATGGGTAGAAATGATTAATTTAGATCCATGTTTCTAGGCTTGAGACTTTCTCTAAGGTTTTACATTCTTACAAAGAATAGTCAAATTTTTGCCAATTTAATATTCCATGCAATGTTTAATAACTTCATTGCTCTTTACAATTAAAAATACAGCTTGTATTCTGAATTTAAAATGAAGTTGTTCGTGTTAAAAAATAGAGTGACATTTACGTGACTATAAACTACCTCAATCCTGACTCTAGTTTCAGCATCACAGTCATCATTAAGGCGCAGAGTGAATTGCTGGGGAGCCTGTGACTCTGTTTTCCACATAAGAAGTCCTGCAGAGGAAATGCTCGCTCCTTCAGGACCAGAGTCCAAAGTAAAATGGATGTCAGAACCTTCTGGATCGATGGCCATGAACTGGTACTCAAAGTTTTCTCCATAAAATGCCTGTAATTTGTCTTGAGGTGTTTGAACCACTGGGGGTTGGTTATCTGTAAGAGAGAAAACACTTAACTTCATGTCTGTGTAGGGAAGGAAAGAGGTGCAATTTTGAGAGCTCCCACAGAGACAGGCATTTTGATAAAGATTAAACTCTGCTAAAAGTTCTATTAGCTGCCTTCACTTTTTTTTTAAACATTCTGAATAAATTCAACTCTATTCTTAGAAAACGTAAAACTGACAAGTGCAAGATCTCAAGCTTTGCTACTAGAGTGTGAAAGCACTTTGAATACAGCATAAAACATATTAGTACACTCGCACTGCCCAGGCTGGATGCACTTCTTCTGTCTTAAATTACTTCCAGGGACCGTTTCACTGCTTTCTCTCACTCCCTCTCTTTTACCCTCTTTTCCTTTCAGCCCCACTTTCTTCCTCTCCATTTCCTTTTTCTTATTTCTCCTTTACTATCAGTGACTGAATTGCTCATTGGACTTTTTAAAAGTTCTTTGCAGTATCTGCTTTCCCAGTAGTGATAACTAACTAGGAACCCATCAGTCACACCCGTGTTCTGCTCCTGAGAGGTCCCTCCAGCAGCCGATCTCACACACTAGCAAAGTCACTATTACAAGGGACAGGGAGAGTTCCCTTAAAACGTCTTTTTATATTGTCTTATATTTTAAAATGTCCACCTTCCTTGCCACTGGCTGAATAGATGGAACGTACAGCCTCACTGCATTGCACTGGGCACAAGCTTCCTGCATCCACAGAGCACTGATGCTAGGAGACCGTACTTCTGACATTTGTTCTACTCCTGTGTCTCCCTGCCCAAGTGGCTTAATTTATTGATCTTTATTTCCTCATCCTCGAGATGAGGAGTTTGAAACCAAAAATATTTAAACACCTCATATCTTTAGCCACTATGAGTATATAATGAATCAGTCATACAATAACCATTAAAAAACATAGATACCAATTCAGAAGTTATATTGTGTTTTCCTTGTTTCTTGAACTAAAATTTTCCTCAAATTTCCATTGTTGTCCCACAATATTCCAAGTCTTGCACCCAAGCAGTGAATTATATGGCACATGGTCTAACACAGTAATGAAGTTTTTACATACAATAACATGTATAATGTTAGGTAAACCTTTATGACTCCCTTAAATAACATTAGATGGGGCCAGGAAATAATTGTGTCCTATTGTATCTAATAATGCCTAATTTCCCCATGAGGAAGAGAACTTGGACACCCATGTGGAATCATCCATAGCTGTATTTAGGAAAGTGATTAAGTTATATAGTATAAGACTCTCATTTGGGATGCCGTTTGGGTGCAACAAAGTATCCTGAAACTATCTATACCCAATATTATACTCGTAGCATCATAGAATGGTAGTGCTGGAAGGCACTTTATATAGAGTATTGAGTCCGGATATCTTATTTTACAGGTGATGAATTCATGGCCTGTGGAGCGTAAAAGGCTAAATGCCTTGTCACAAAACTGAACAGAGGTAAATCTGAGAATAAGAAACTGTAACTGAATTAACAATTCCCATTTTCTCTATTAATAATTCACACTCACTTTCCTTATCAAATATTAAAATAAATATCCCATACCCTATTGCAGTATAATCATAGAAATTATATATATATATATAAATCTTTTCATGTTATATTTCCTTTCAGCAAAGTAAATTATGCATGCTAAATTAAACACAGTGTTCATCCATCTTAAACACATTTATGTAACTTGTGGTTTTAAACCACTATTAAAATATCTTGTATAGCAAATATTTAGATTAATAAAAAATAACTTACTTTCTAAAAATGACCAAGTAAATTTTGAAATTTGGGGTCTACAAATCAAACAATGGTTGGTTGGATTTTTCTCCCCTTCAATGTAGCAGAGTCCATCAATAATGCAAACATTTTCCTAATGGAAGTTTTTTAAAACAGAGAAGATCGATAAAGATACAGCTAAAGTTAGTGTACAGAACAGAAAAACTAGAAAGATAGCAGCATATATACTGAAGATTCCAATGAAAGCATATTATAAATCTGCTTTGATCAGAGAAATTTTTATACCTCATAATCATAAATGCATGCTAGAAAACAAATTATTTCCCATATGTGTAAATGCCCATGGAACTGATCAATTTAGAGGAGTAAGAAAATACATATAAGTTGTATTTCTCTGCAAAATTATAGATTACATCTTATAGATAACATGGGAGAAAAATCTCTATTTTCTTTTTGTCTTTTTCACTGCTAAACTCATACTGGGAGTATTTTATTTATAAAGAAATAAAAATGACATATTTTCCTATGCATCTTATAGAAACACATTAGTTTATAATTATATTCCTTTTTCCTAGCAGCCCACTATGTCCTGTGACCACAGCAAACTAGACCAGATCCATGGTATAATTATTCACACTTGTTAATGGATATCAAAATAGTCGAAAGAGATGCTGACACACACATAAAAAAAAAAAAAAACATTAAATATAGCCATCATTCTTAACAGGGGAACCAAATTTTATTCAGGAGGTATAAACTTTGCTCATTTTATAAAATATCTTGATATCACTTGAAGCATTACACAAAATTAGCACAAAATATTCCCAAGAGGAGAAAATAACCTTGAATAACAAACTTTTAGAAGTACTTATGGACATGTGGAAATAGAATATTTGAGGAGAAATAAAAATCAAACAACTTCTTAAAACCCAAAACTTCTTACTGATATGATCTGATGGCTAATCTCAAGAAAAAACTTTTAATTTAGGAAAAAATAATGCTTTATTTTCATGTACATGCACAGTATTGTAAATGTTATTTTGTATGCTCCTCAGTTTTGAAGGGTCAAGTGATATAAGATCCATGGAGTCTGTTAAATCAGCAATTCACATGTGAGAGATCCCTGTTGAGAAACCAGTGGACTGGATATAAATTGAGAAGAGGTTGAGGCTATGGGGACTCCGATCCTCCATCAAGTGGTGGGTATTTGCATGGTCCATCGAACTTAGTTGCCAGTAAAAACCCCCATAAAAATGCTAGCCTTATGCATTTTACAAATTCTATGCAAATACATGTTATTTGCCACGAAGAGAACTAGCTAACCACGAAGAAATATCTTCTTGAAAAATCATTTTTCTACTGGAAAAGCAATATATGCAGGAGTGGAGTGATTAAATTTAGTCTGAATCTCCTTTTGATTTTACAGGAATAAACTATCTGCCACTTCAAGAGGTTTAAAATAGAGACCTCGTCCTTGCCATTTCAGCAAGAGCCATAGGCAGAGTAACAATTTCAATTAACCTTATATATACTTGTGGAAGACTTTTCTCTGTTAGATTTTCTGATATAAAGGTAAAAAAAAAAAACTATGGTTAATATGCCAGCAGCATGGGAAGTTAAAATGCTTATGATGTATATGTGAAAATAAGTGGAAAGATACATACCTTTATAGTACATGAGTCATTTTTATAGAGACCACAAACTTGACAAGCACCATCATATATGATCATTATTTTGGGATTACTGAATTTATGACCATCATTAGATACCTGTAAGATGTAGTTCTATAATAAGATAATTTGTTCTAAATTTAGCCTCATAAATTCACTACGAAATTTTGTATGTAAGTATTTACTTTGTTTATAAATATGGGGATGTCTTTTTATTCTTTACCTTTAATTGCCACTTCACAATTGGTTCCTCACCTCTCGGTTCCATGGTTTCAGACTGCTGGACATGGGTGGGTAGCTGACAATCAATGGTTCTGCTGTTTTGAAATGTAGTCTGTGCATACATGGGTTCTCCAGGAACCCATTTACTGCCATTATACTGAAAGCATAATGAAAAAGCAATTAAATTCTGTTAAATTACAGAAATGTTTTGGTAGTGAATTACATATAATCAAAATACAAATTTTAAAATACATACCTAGTATAATGGAACATATAATGAGGAAACAAGTCACACTGAGAATGGCTTTTTATTCAGACTGATGAAAGATGTATATATATATTTTTTAATTTGATGTAAACCACTTATAATGAATCATGCATTTCTTGAGGGTTCAAATCAAAGAAATTACCAATAGTGGCAACATATAATGAATCACAATGTAACAACTTTTATAGCAAGAGGAAACACACTTGACTATGTAGTTGACGCGTAGTGGATTGATTTTCTGCCATAAACCCCCTCATTTTTCCTGCAAAAGCTTCCACCTTTTATATCTACTTGAAACTACTCTTCATTTGCATGGTTCCCATAGGTCCTCTCCTGTTCTTATATCGCCCACCTCCCTGACTATACTTGACTGGCCCAGGGGTGGACCTATACTGGGCCGATGCTTTGATTGCCTGGTATATTTCAACTTCATACCAGAGAGGATGTTGGCTCAGTCAGCCTCTAGTGGCTTGACTTGCAAGATACTAAACTATGGAGCCACTGCTGGCCATGTTTTTCACTTTGTAGAGAAAGCCACTATAGAGTGAAATGGAAAACTGAAACCTGCAAACGAAGAAAAGCAGACCCGAGACAAACAGATACACACACATACAAATGTGCACATACTGAGTCTTCCTGGTGTTCAAGTCCCATATTCAAGTTTTTTCCTGAGAATGTAGCTAGACTCCAGTCCTTGATTCTGTAAGAAATATGCTATCCTAATAATAAGTAGTATTTCTGCTCAAGCTAGTTCATAATAAATATTATATTTGCTCAAGCCAGTTTATGTAATTTGAAACTGAATAAATTCTAACCAGTTAACCTTATTTAATAACTCAATGGCATATCATGCTTATGGCATACTTTGAATATTATTGTTTAGTGTTGAAATGCATTGGTGTCTAAAGAAGAAAAGCCAGAATAATCTTCTGAGTACTGGTAACTACATAGAAAGCTACAAGGATATATTTTGTTGCCAAAATTTAGATTTATTTATTTATTTTTTAATTCATAACTGTAGCATGTTTTAAACCACTCAGAATTGGTCTGCAGCATGCTGATGCTTCAGTACTATGGGTCAGCAGAAGAAGAAAGAAAGGCAACAACACTCTAGTCTGTGGCTAGTAGACATTATCTTGTTGATTTGATGACTGACTGAATGAGCCGCTGTACAAATGTCCATGCTTAAGGGGGTCTGTGCAGTCTGGTCCAGCAGATCTATCAATGCTTTCCGTCTAGCAGAGCAGGAATGACAGCAATGACTCAGAGTAGTCGCGATACCTACATTCGGAAGGATGTAGGGTCTCTTGGTGTCCTGTGTGGGAACAAGACTCCTGCCAGTGACTGGGAAAATAGTAATTATTTCCATCCCTCTGTTTGGAGGGTCCTACCGAAAATGATGAATAAACAGGGTTCTATTTCCTTTCCATTCAACAATATCTTGTGAGTATCTATTATATGCTGAAGATATTCTGTTGAAATAGATCATAAAGGAAAAGACAGACAAAACACAATTTTTTCTTAGGCACATTTTTTTCAAATGTGCCTAAGAATAATTAAAGGTCATCTTTCTTTTTTTGAGGATAATGTTAATATTTCTGACCTTTTCTTCCATCAAATTGCAATAGCCAAGATTGAAATAAGGTGTAGTAAGAAAGAAACCACTAAGTCTAACTAGCACAGTCAAGGAATAGTTCAAAAAGGATAATACTTTCCTTCCTGAGAGTGCAAAAGGATTCTGCCATTTGGACAGTGAGGGCAGAAATGTACAGTTGGATGTACAGAGTGCACAGTTGGACACGGCTGGATGAAATGGCATGTGAAATGGTGAAAAGACAGGGATGATGGAAAAAGCATGGAATTTTAGCAGACCATAAATGGGAGGTTCAAGCCTGCACAAATAGATAAGAACTGGATCATGAAGGGCCATCCATTTCTAGTATAACAACTTTGATTTAATCCTATTAATAAGTAATTTAAAAATTGGATTCTGTAGAGTCCAGGATGCCTTGAGGGGGGAGGGAGTGAAGGAAATGATTGAGTGGTTGGATCTCTAGCTAAAAACATATATAAAGTTAATACTGAACACGTAGGAAAAAAGCATGTACAATATGCTACCCTTACTGTAGAAAAGGAAGTATGTATCCATGTCTTTATATGAAAAACTACAATAAGGATAAACCAGAAAATAATGAGAGTGGAATGGATAGGAATGGGATAGAAAGGGGTAATGGGGAGCAGGTGGTAGGGAAGAGATGAAAGCGACCATTCTGTGTGTATACCTTTTGTATAGCTCCAAAGCTTAGACCATATTAATATCTCACATACCCTCCAAAAAGTACATAACTAAAATCCACCAGAGTGCAGAGAGAAAACTCAAAATGCCAATATTAAAAAATAAACCTAATTGTATCTTGAACGGAATGCACACCACTCTGAACAGAAGGGGAAAGAAAATAGCTAATCTAAATCACTTTGGAAAACAGTATTTGTCTTTATAATATAATATAGTTTTGTACATTTCTTTTTCACAGAGGTATGGTTTAGAATTTCTGAAATGGATTTATGTATTTATTAAGATTAAGAAAGTAGGTAAATATGTGACAACCAGTTTTCATTTGTGAAGAAAGGAGTTACAAATAAGGAAAGGAGGCGGCTAGAATGACTCTTTTGGTGTTATATTGGAGTCAAAAGTATAGGTATTAATTCAAGGAGATGATAGACAAACAGAAGGACAGACAAATGGATAAATAAATAGATAGGTACATATCTAGACCCATGAGTATACATACATACATTTCCTAGCTCTATCTATTGAGAAGACCAAGAAGCAATAACTACCTTTAATAATGAGCACAATTTGCAGCCAAATTTTGGTTTTTAAGTGAGATTCTCCAATAAATGGAGCAAAAGCTCTTTGGAGAAATAGTAGATTCTAGGGTTGAAGTTGGGTATATACAAGATATTATGTGTACCTTGTCTGGCATATCATGTGATGCCAGAGAGTGACAAACTTTTAAAAAAATTATGAGGCACATTGAAAAGACATGAGAACCAACTTGAAGGAGCTCCCAGTGACCAAAGCTGGGATAATTTAAGTAGCAAATTAAATAATAATAGCATTGAATTAGAATTCATAAGTGAGTATCTATTAGTCCATACTGATATAAATAAATGAATGAATAAATAAATTGGGAGCAAAGAACAGCTCTTCCTTTCAGTAGAATTCCAAATAATATATTAGAGGAAATGATGAAAATAGAAAATCACCATTGGCAAATGCCATAGTAATAATTGTTGCAAGCAAAAATTATACTTGTATGCTAGACAATGGGAGAAAAACTATGAGGAGAAATCACATATTTGAAGAGTCTAAAAGTGTCTTCCCACAACCATTTGATTAAAAAACACACACACAAGTCATTTTCTCCTATAAATTCTCAATCTCAGAATCACATTTAGCTTCATCAGTTTAGAGAAAAGTTAAGAAGAATGTTAAAATATAATTTTCTGTTTTGAGCTACCTTTAAAATAAAAATCCCACTTGAGGGACTGCAAAATGGTGTAGCCATTATGGAAAAAGGTATGGAGGTTCCTCAAGCAATTACAGATAGATCTACCATATGACCCATCTATTCCATTGCTGAGTATGTACCAGGAATGGAAATCATCATGTCAAAGGGATACCTGTACTCCCATGTTTATTGCAGCACTATTTACAATAGCCAAGAGTTGGAATCAGCCAAATATCCATCACCAAATGAGTGGATAAGGAAACTGTGGTATATCTACACAATGGAATACTACTCTGCTATAAAAAAGAATGAAATACTACCATTTGCAGCAACGTGGATGGACTTAGAGAAAATTATATTAAGTGAAATAAGCCAGGCACAGAAGAGAGTTACCACATGTTCTCACTTATTTGTGGGAGCTAAAAATAAATAAATATACAAACAAACAAATGGGGGGGGAAGACACAACAATCACAAGTCCTTGAACTTGTTAAGACAAGTGAACAGATATGATGTTGATGGGGGGGGGAGAGGAAGGAGGGAAAGAGTAATTGGCTAAGGGTGACTAAAATCAACTACACTGTATATTGATAAATTAAAATAAAATAAAAATGAGGTCAGCCAAGAAACTGAAGTATTGCTAAAATTTAAACAAATAAATGAATAAATAAATAAACTTGGTTGAAATGAAAAAAAAATCCCACTTGAATAAAGAAAGACCATATATGTAATCACCAAAAATAAGGAATAATTTGATATGCTTATGTCCTAACTGAGTGATTATGTCTGCTATTCTGGCTTCCAGAAAGAAACATATCAATTTGGGGTGTCGGGAAGAGAGATTTTCCTCTCTGAAATCCATAGTAAGGGAAACATAGAGGATGAGCACAATTAGTCCTTATGAGATAGGAGGTGCTCAGTTTCCCTGGGCTCAGGTTACTAGACGTGCCTCTGGGTTTCAAGCCACTCCCTGAGCTCTCAGACCCCCTCCTCTAGACCTACCCCTAGAGGAAAGTTACTGTTACTAGTTAGACCTATTTTCAGCACTGGCATGTGGAAAATGAGACCACAAGGGCCTGGCTTATGCAAATCCAGTGGCCGGGCATGCTCAGTAGAGAAGAACTATATAACCCTGGTAGCTGAATAATCTTCCACTAGGGTGCTAAAGAGCACAGAATGTTCTTGAATGTGTTTGGAGCATGTGATAGAATTTGACCAAGGAACATGCTCTAGAAAGAGACCAACTGAACATGCATAAGACTATGTTACATAACCGAGAACCATCCTCTTAACTGAATATTCATTACATAGCAAAACTATAAAAACTGAATCCCAGAAGAAGCTGGTGGTGGTGCTCACTTTCCTGGGGCTGACCCACACTTCATGGGCAGATATGTGTCTGCTTTCTTTTGTATCAAACTTACTTTCAGCAAGCAGCTGCTCACTCTCTTGGGCCAGCCTGCACCCTGTACTAAACTATAAGTGTGAATTTCTTACTTTTGTATTAAACTCGGTGTGGTCCCTGCTCAGTCACGGGAGGGAGTGAAATCTCTCTATGTGAAATCTGTACCTCTTATTCATTACATTAAACCTGTCCTCACTTTCTACTATGACTCTGCTCTTGAGTTCTTTCCTGTGGCAGAATCGAAAACCTAGTAAGAGGACAAGGTGCGTTGAGGCCAAATATCTGACCCCCAAGACCCTTCCTCAGACATCACTTACTTTTCAGTTTGTGAAAGAGAAATATTCACATCTCTATATCCTGTAGTTTCTGCAGTGTGTCTTTCCTAAAAATGATCTCCATTCTTTGTTTTTACATTTCAAGAAATATATATATCAAGCTTGATTTTTTTAATATGACTAAATTTAGTGAGTCAATACCTCAATTTAAAATTATATAAAACTACTTTAATAAAGTTAACAAATAGGAAAACTTTAATGTTAACAGTGTGATCATTTTCCTGTTCAGCTCTCTGTTGATATAAGTAACATCCTTTGGGATTATGTTGCTAATTGAGAGACCTAACCAATCCAGGATAAAATTAATCTGAGTAACTCATAACTCACTTATTTTTCAACTCTATAATTGACATACCTGTAGTCTAGTAACTTCACATTTAATTGAAGGTGATTCTTTGAAGACTTTACCAAAAACTCTCACCATCATACAATTATATTTTCGAACATCACAGAATCCAGCATTCTCAAGTTCTGTAATTTCTGGAGCTTTGTCTTTGAGAAAAATTATAAAAATTGGGCATATTTTCTTTAATTAAAAAATTAATTACTTGCAAAGCCAAAATTAAAAGCATATCTAAAATAATATTTCAAAGTATACTTCAAATATTATTTACTAAATTAATTAAACAATTAAATGTTAAGAGTAATATGGTATTAAAAGACATATTATCTACCATCAAACCAATAAAAACATCATTACTGATACTCCCAGTGCCTAAATATACAGGTTTCATTAGTGTTTTAGTAATATTTCATATCAGTTAAGGATAAGTATTGTGCAATGAAATACATTTTGGTTTATGCCATATAGAGGGCTTATAGAAAAAATACTTTGTAAAACATAATTAGCAATGCAATGTATTAAATTACAAAAAAAATCTTATTTTAAGATTTGGAAAAGAGTTATCAAATTTTATGTATGCTTCTGTTGTAGTATTGTTGATATTTTTATCTATTATTGCTATCCCGCGTGCTACCCTAATCTTAGGTCTACTTCTCAATCATAGGAGAAAAAAATTTGTTCTAGCAGTCACAGTTAACTGATCTTCGAATGGTATCTCTGGTGCTGGTCTTTGTAAGATCATACATTATCTACATAAGCAAGATCTGGCTGTCAAAATGGATATATACAGTGTGTAAAATTAAGTCCTTTGCCTAAGTACTGGCAAAATCTAAGTGAATATAACTTTACTAGCAATAGGGCACAAAATCATAAGTCACGTGCATGAAGAACATTAAAAATCTTTATGATAAAAGAAACATGTTAGTTCATTTTTTCATACATTCAACAAATGTCAATTTAGCAATTTCTATGTATCTAGCATTATTCCAGGTACTGGGGATATAGTACTGAACAAAACAAAGACCCTGCCTTCATGTAACTTATATTCTAGCATGGGAGAACAAAAAATAAACACATTAAAAAAATAAAGTATATCACATGAGTGTTTTCAGGAATATGGAGAAAAAGTATATTAACTATAATAAGGAAGATAAAGACTACAGAGTCGTGTGAGAAACTTTATTTTGAACAACTGTGGAAAGATTTTCTGCTAATACGACTCGAACAGAGAAGTGAAGGAAGTCAGTCATGAAGACATGTGGTGGAAGAATACTCCTGTGAGAGGGAGAAGTGCAAAGATCCTGAGGTAGAAGCAAGCCTGCTCCTTTGAGAAACAGGAAAGCAGCCAGTGTGGCGAAGAAACAGTGAGCTATGGGAAAAATGGCAGATCAATGCAGCGAGAGGGGAGCCTCAGGTTACATGGGGTCTTCCAGGCCATGGCAGGAATTGTGGCGTTCACTCTGAAGGAGCTGAAGGGCCATTTGAGGGATTTAAGCAGAAGAGCTATATGGCCTGACTTGCAAGAAGGGTCACTTTGGCTGCTGCTGCATGGAGAATAAGCTTTCAGAGAATTTATAATAATCTGGGTGAAAGATAATGGTGGGTCAGACTAAAGTTGTGGCAGGAATGAAGGGAAATGCTTTGAAGCTAGATCTGGATTTACTGCTAATGGATTAAACTTGAGACATGAGAGAAAAAGGAAAGTCAATAATGACTAAGAGGTTTTAATGTGAGCAGTTAGAGGAATGAGATGGAAAAGGCTGTTGGTGGAAAAGGGCAGGATGGTGCTGGTGGGAAGGGAGTCAGAAGTTCTTGCTTGGTTTACTGGTTAAAGGAGCCAAATCAACTTAAAAATTTCTTTCATCTCTGAGACAAAATAGTGTGTACCATATAGATAGAAGAGACACAGAAAAATAGTTTTAAGCAAATTAGTGTAATTAGCAAAATCATATAAACACAGTGCTTTAAAAAATACTAAATGTGAATCTAGGAAAAAGGTCAAGTGGACCTGGCATTTTCCAGGAACAGCATAGACACCTAAGCGTCTGGAATGGGAAGACAGGGAGACAGTAGTGGGGGATGGGTTTAGAGATACTGAGTGCCAGGTCACATTGTAACTTACAGGCTGTTGTAAGTACTTCAGCTTTTACTCCAAATAAGAAGAGATGCAGTTAGAAAATTATTAGTGTATGAATATAATTTGAGTATTTTCCCTTTATAATGTGAATAAACCTTATTAAGATACTAAAGGTAGAAAAGAACAAAGACATTTTCATAATCAAATATCAGACTCAACATCAAAGTTTGAGAATATTTACTTACCATGTGAATCACCACAATCGTAGGAACTAAAGCCTGGGAAACACGCACAGCCCCATTCCATACACTGCCCATTGCCGCTGCATAGATTGGGGCATTTTAATACCGAAAGAATGTCTCCAATTGACTTGTTGTATTTTTCTGTGTTATATATCCCCTCTTCCAAAATCCTGTTTTCACATTCATTTTCCAAAAGGGCCACACCTGCTTCTGCCCAGCTAGGATCATCTTTTAACAGAACATCGTTAACACACATATCAATAACACTGTCTAGTCTCTTGCCAAGAAAGGCAAGACAGAGCCTTCCTATGCTGGAGTTGGCTAGAGTGTGCTGACAGAGAGCCAAGGTGCTGTATTCAGTGAGGCCGGAAGGTGTGGGCCACGAGGGGACAAACTCCTGGTCGACATCCTCAGCATGGTCCTCAGGGAAAAAATAAGCAAACCCCTCGAGGTCAGTTTGTTTGAGACTTTGGAAAGCAAACAAAGGAAGAAACTCATAAAAGTTTTGCCGTTTCCATCTGTTTTGTTGATTCCACCTTATTTCTTGGCTGTGGCTACCCTGGTCCTGTGTATATCTCTCATTGTTCAAATATTTTGGTACATCTTGTTTTTCATCTGCAGGATGTTTCTGTAAATTTAAGTCTTGGTTGGTTAGGTTTACATGCTTTTGTTCTAGCGGAAAGAAATTCAAATGATTTTCTCCAGATGTATGCTTGTTTATCCCTCTGACAAAAGCTTCCGAATTAATATATTCAGAGGTGACATCGAGTTCTGGTATCAAAGAAGAGAATCGGACATGTTTGAGGTCTTTGCAACCTGAAGCAGTTTCTGATTGAGAAACACTGTCCAGATGATTAGAAGAAGGATACAACGAAGCCGTGTCTAATGAGCAGCTACAATAGGAGAGTTTTCCAGGCGATGTCAGAGAAATTGGCATTGTGTCAAACATGCTTTTTCCTGGTAAAATCCTTCCAGATGGGAAACAGAAAAGGATAGTAATTTGGACAAGAATGTGTTGCAAAAAAGTAGATTATTGAGTCACCACCCATTTTAATTCTAATATTAATCCACTGACAAATGAAAAATAGTTTATTCCTTACCTCCATTCATTAATAAAAGCAACATAATTATTAAAATTTTGATCGATTTTAATTCCATTTTTATCATGGAAATCATTTTCTGGGTCTTCATCAAAAGTGCCACAAAGTCCCAAAGTGTTTCTGTAATCTAAACTAGGGGCTCTGATTGTTAAACTCATGCCCCACTCACTAAGATCAGCACGGATAAATGCTCCAGAAGAAAACCAAATCTGAAATACAGAAATAATCAATACAGAAATAAAAGATGTTGTAGCAACCCTTAATATTGATTAAGAAAAAACTGTTACTTAAGAAATAAGAAACAAACTCAATTATTCCTTCAATATAGAAAGAGAATAAAATACTGATTTTCTTTAGATGACAATTTTAAAGCTATATGTCAAAATAGTGGGTTTTTGCATTTTGCTGACTTGAAATTTGATTACCATATTGATCTTTTTATTGAGCTGTATTGTTCCCAACCCCTTTCTTTAAATAATTTAAACTCAAATGAGATATTTTATACAATTAAACAGCTATAAGTCTTGAGAATAATGCTTGCCAAGTAATATTTCTGATTATAATTATTTAATTTGGAACTAGACTGCCAAGTAATTAATTTATACCAATAAATGTAATTCCAGAGGAGTATATTCCTGTGGCTTATCAGCATTCTCTTGCTGCCCATAGGCAAAAAGAAACAGAAGCCAAATTGTTACCAGAAGATTGCTTGGGCAGTTGGCAAGCACTGCAAGGGAGTTTGCCTCATGATCCTAATAGTCTGTAATGTAACTCTGAGCCACATCTCTCTGTCACAAAAATGTAACCTCTCCCAGATCAGCCACTTGGATGTACATATGGAGAAACAATCTCTTCTAAAATTCACTGAAGATATACTACCTGCGTTTGCTCCTCTGATTCTCCTTCCCCTTGTATCTTTTTTAAAAATTTCAAAAATTGCACCTGTTCCTTACAAAAAATTATTTTAAAAGCAAACTAACCTTATATTTCTACTCAACCTGAAGTAGCTAATGTTAAGATCTTGGTGCAAATTCTTCAAAAATCTCTCCTATATTTCATGAATATCTTTCCCTGTCAATAAACACACACACCTCTCCCGTCATTTTCATGACTACAAAGTATTCCATTATGTAACATCATTATATTTAGAGTTTTAGATAAACCCTTTTATTGATCACTGATTAATTGTAACTTTTCCCTTTTACAAGGAGAGATACAAAGAATATCAGTGGGGTTATGAACATACTCGATTATTTTATTACAATAAGTTTCCAAAAGTAAAATTTCTTGGTAAAATAGCATACGCGGGTTCAGGTTATACATAATATGTATGGCATCTGGAAAGACTATAACTATTTCTGGTATCTCTACTCTTGCCAATATTGTATGAGAGAAGTTTGATCCGTATTTACTTTATTTCTTTGTTTGATTACTAACGAGGTTAAGGTTTTTGTATTTTTGTTGGTTGGTTGTACTTTTGGATATATTTATCAATTTGATTTCTTTTGTGAATTTCTTTTTTATATTATTTGCTCATTTTAATGGGAATGCTGTTTATACATTAGCAATGTATAACAATGTTTTCTATATTGAATGTATGTTTTATATGTAGCAAATATTTTCCTAATGTTTTAAAAAATAAAGTTTATTATGTATATTTAATGTATATAACACATTGTAAGATACACATATATACAGTAAAATGGTTGCTGTAGTGAAACAAATCAACACAGTTACCCATTTCCCCTCCTGTGGCAAGATCAGCTATAATCTACTCATTTAGTAAAAATCCTGAATACGACACACTATTTTTAACTATAGTACTTATGTCATACATTAGATCTTTTGACTTGGTCACCCCAATATTTGATTTGCATTTTGGTTTTTGATAATGGAATTCAAATATATAATGTTATGTTCAAAAATTATTATTCACTTCAATAAATGTTATAAAAACATATACCTACAATTTTTAATACTTTCTTTTAAATTTAAATCATATTTACCTGGAATTTACTTTTTGAAAGATAAGAGAAAGATGACTGTAGCCTTAAGATACAAATAGTTAGCTCACAGATAAGAAATATCCTTTTTTTTTTTTTTTTTGGTGGCTGGCTGGTACAAGGATCTGAAAACCCTTGACTTTGGTGTTATCAGCAGCATGTTCTCCCAAGTGAGCTAACCAGCTAGCTGAGAAATATCATTTTTAAAAAATGTTAGTGAATATATAATCTTGGGTATGTTTCTTGACTTTATATTCTCTTCTACTTATCTATCAGCCCATTCCTGAGACAGTACCATATTGTATTCATTTCAAAAATTGGGTAGCTATTCCTGAATATGTATCCTTAATTATGTCTGTCATCATAGTCTAATATATCATTTATTAGACACTTTCAAAAGTAATTTTTATGAATAATCCAAGTTGTATTGAAATCGTAAATAAGGCAGTTTAGATCTGACAGTTTTTAGCTATGTTGTGTCTATTTGTGTGCAGTAGGTGAAAAAAAATTTTATTCCTTCTCAGATCATAGTTCATCTAAATGCTATTTTGTTGAACAAACTAATGTTTAAAAATGTTAGCTCCTAATTTAATAGCGATAAATAGAAGTTCATCCAAAATGGAAAAAAGAAAAACACTTTTCATATTAAAGAATACATACTGTGACTTTTCTTCCTAAGTAAGATTCACTTATCTTGATGTTGCTGGTTACACGTTGGCTCTTTACAAATAAATTTGGCTGTGATTCTTGTAGCTGGCCACTACACATATCAAAAGTAACTATATCACCTTCCTCTTTGGCAACAAAACCACAGTTACATGACACAGGGTAGTGAAGGCTTCCGCAGTCCCATTGACGTACGTGGACTTCAAAATCACGTGACATACTCTTATAAAGCACAAATGTTCCAGTCTTGAAATTGTCATATATCCTATCATTAACAAAAGTCAATTGTGTTAAAAATCAGTATAAACGATAATATGTTATAAGCCAAAAATGTGTATTCAGTGTATTTATTGGCATTCAATACATTTTTTATGTTAAAATGAGAAATCTAGATTTCAGATGATTTCATGTGTCATGCACATTTATCTGTGTGCACTGAATGAAAGAGCAGTGTGAACACCTCAATCTCTCCCACTACTCTTTCCTTCTCTTTCCCCACTCCAGCCATACTGCTCTGGAGCAGGGTGGGCTTCTGAATGGGCTTCTCCCCATCTGCATATGCACATGGCTGTCTCCATCACTTTCTTTAAGATTTTGTCCAAATGTCACCCTCACTCAATAGTGTTCTGTAACCACTCTATTTTAAGATAAATTGCAACCACTACTTCTTGCCTTCCTTCTCCACCCCTGATTTAGTTTTCTTCACAGCATGGATCTTCCTTAGACACACTATATATTTTATTAATTAACTGTGTTCATATCTCTCTTCACCTAGTCAAAGATCAGATCCGGGGTGGCAGGGAGTTTATCTGCTTTGTTCACTGCTGTACTCCCAGCACTTAGAACATGGCTCGTCACCTCGTTGTTGCACAATTCATCTTGTTGAATTAAGTCAGATTAAATACATCACCATATGCTTTCTTGAGGTTTTTCCACTGAAACTTCTAAGCCTTTAGTTATAATCATAAAGAATTCTTGCAGGTGAGATCAGTTCTTCCTACTTTTCAATTCTTGCTCAAACTGTCAGAGTATTATTTTTTATTGGAGGAGTGCTACATCTACTCACACATATTGGATAGTTTTAATGACAATGATCACATTACAATAAAAAAAAAAACACAAACTACCTTGCATCATGAAGAAAATTCTGTCTCAACAATGAGGTGTTCTTATTTTTCTTAAGGACATACTAGTGAACCCATCAGAACAGTATGACGAGTTTAAATCTTTCTACATAGATATTAATGGTAGGATAGCTTAGATTACTTTTCGTTCATTTTGCCCATTTTATTTTAAATTCTTGAGTCAAATATCCAGGTATTTATGATGGGTATAGTAGTTTTTCCCCTGAGTATTTCTGTTATGAGTTAGGAGTGATTAGTTTTAAAATAATTTTGACATGTTAATTTAATCATTTTGTTAAAACGTTAAATATTATTTTATCATATAGAAATGCAACACAGTAAACATCTCTAGAGCAAACAATTTAATAATTATTAAATATAAATAAATGGTCAAGCAAACATGATTGGCTGCATCTGTGATAATCTTCATTATTAAAAATTCAGCCTCACAACTAGTCCGTATTTTTAAATAAGGACTAGAGTTTAAAGCAAAAATATTCTACACAAATAAACTAGTATCTTCAACCAGATTAGTGATGGCCACATATACCTTCCTTTCTAATTTTTCGTTGAGTAGGACTAAAAAATTATAAAACAGTATGCTGCTTAAAAAACAACAAAGCCCAAACAAACAAAAACTACTAAAAGAAAAAACTTTCAGGAAATTACCTGCCATCAAATGTAATTATATGTGGGTCAGTAAATGAATAGCAGTAAGCAGTTGGAACATCCTTTACTCTGATCTTAAAAGCAAAGATATTTTGGTAAATATTACCATTAATGTTATTTAGTGCTATAAAATAAATTGTTTAGCAATCTCAATAATTTTTCAAATAATTATTGTTATTATCATGGTTATTAAAATTAAATCATTTAAAATTAAAATAATTTATCAAATAATTTTTAAATAAAATGGTAACAAGGTATGGTGATAAAATACACATATCTTTTTAAAGCTTCAATTGTGAAGGTATTTTTGTAATTTGTCAACCTGGATGCTGTTTGGAATGTAGTTGTTCCACAGAAAGTCCTCATTAACTATAGGCTGCACTACAATGTTTGTAATTCTGTCACCATCGCGAGAAAAATCCATTACAGCAGTGTAGTACACAAAAGCACGGCTACAGGTTCCATTAGCACAGGATGAGGTCTGGTAAAGGTCCACGTGACAGGAAGACAGTGCCAAATTCAAGCCTAAGTGCTCTTTACCTATTTTAATAAAAAAAAATGTTGAATAGTTTTCAAAAGGAATATACTAACCAAAGTATGCAATAACTTCATTAACATGGAACATTAAATTGAGAGATTATTATTAAATTATTTTATCTTTCTTAAAAAAATATGGTTATCACTCTTGTCAAAATTTAATTAAATCTATCAAATGTACCTTATCTTTACAAATAATTAATCAATTTCAAATATATACATATATAACCATGCATACTTTACTACTTTAATTCAGGTTGTGAGTCCATATGCACCTGGATGTAATTAAAAAGCAATAAGTAAAGCTTATTCTTGTTTCTGCAAAAAAATCATAATTCTAGCACCAAGAAACATAACTTGGTTTTTTTACTGCCTAAGAATTGGGTCTTGGCCATATTTTTTGTCCCCGAGTGAGGCTAGGTTTTTCCCGTAGAAAGGGTTGTCCCTTCATCAGTAACCATTTATTTGGTATCTAGAAGTGGAAAGCTTTTTCATTCTCTAGTAGAATTTTTAAAAATTAAGTTACACATGCCTTGTGCAGTTCACAGATACCATGTATTGCAAACATTCTTGTAATTTTTTTACACTTGAATGTGTAATCACTTTAACAATTTCAAATACACTTAAACAATGCCAATTCAAGAAACAGCATAAAAATAAAAAATAAATGAATTGGGTCTTGGGCGCAGATATTTCTGTAACGTATTTTAAGGCATGTGTTTACGTTCCATCCATTGTTGAATGATAGCAATGGCTTTTAATTATTGGTATATAGTTTGTCATCTTAAAAAAACAGAAAAATCAAAATGTGAGATGGTGATCTCACAGCATTAATAAGCTACCTCCTTTCACCTCCTAAATATCCAGATATATTTAGAACCTTGAGATGCTCCCTTGTCCATGGAACAAAAAATTAAAAAAAATAATTTGGAAAGAAAATGCTAACAGAGAAGGAGGAAGAAACTCTGGGAATTTGTACAACTAAACAAAAAGAACAGATTCCCTCCAAAAACTGGCCACAAAGGAATTATGCTTTCATATCCAATTAAAGATTACAAGGTCCTTCTGAGAAACAAGGAGGAAGAAAGGAGTTGCTAAAATGTTTTCATCTTCTTTTCTCCCACACAAATTTTTTAGGTAAGAAATTATATCAATCAGATATAGGTACATTGTACTGGATTCAAAATTCCTAAAAAAATTTTTTCTTTATGCATTTTTTCTAGAAATATATACTCTTCCCACACACATAAATCATAGCAGAAACATGCAAACTCTTGACCAGCTCCCTGAGGAGAATATGGAATATTTCTGGCATAGATATAGCCCATGACATCATTTCCTCTGCTCTATGGTATAAAAGCCAAGTATTGTTCTCTTCAAGCATCATAGGTCTCTGTAGAAATACACCAAGTGACACCAACTTGTTCTCAATGAAAATGGAGGTTTAATGGAAATATACTTAAGGAAGACAAGATGAGGAATATCCAGAACGAAATCCAAAAAGTTTCTTCAGAAAAAAGGGAAATCATTTTTAATTGATGGAGAATAAGAACATATAAAGTTCTCAAATGTAGGAATATATTTAGGCTATTTTTATATTATTATAACAACGCATACTTGGTTGAAAGAATTGAGAACATGCAAAAATATTTTAAAGTACACATGTATATAACTAAACAAAATCTTGGCCTAACATGATTTTGAAAAATATCAATAACATTGTCCTCTTTTTATTATCCTAATAAACTGCAATAAAATAAAATTTGCATAATATGCTTTTCAGAGGTAGTTTGAAGTAGAATTGTGTCAAATAGCTTGAGAGAGAAAGTTTAATTTCATACTTCTGGGCTATAATTCAAAATATTGTGTGCTCATAGTGTCCCTGAAATCTGAGTGAGTGGCTGGATATTATCTAAGCCTGTTTACTGTGAAGTATCTTAGAATGGACTCTCAATTTCTCTATCTCCTTATCCGTCTCTTTTCCTGGGTACAATGATTTCAGAAAACTCTATCCCTTTCCTTGCTTTTTTTTACCCTTTTGTGTCTCTGATTTAACTATATACAATATGGGCATGAAGATATAGATACATTTTATTTGGTGTATTTACCAAATAAAATATTATGATCTACGGTGAAAAGGTATTTGGTATGTGAACGGAATTGTAATCTCTCTTAAAGGTTATATATTATTTTATGTATCTCTTACTTGCTTTGATCTCTACATCAGAGGTTTAGGGCAAAAAAAGGACTCAGTCAACCCAATCACTGCTTTATATGGTTTGTCCTCTCATATTCTATCTTGTTCTGTGAGAAGATTTCCACTGTCTATATATGGCTGTGACAGTGACACATATGTGGCCATGCATCATGACATCTATATAATTAGTGATTTAAATAGAAAAATTTTAAAACAGAAGATCCCAAATATAATCTTACATTAGGGAGAGAAGTGCAAAGAATGCATTATGGATCCATGTACACCTTACTCTTTGGGGATGATTTGGAAAATCTTAAACAGTAATTTGTCCCTTAATCTCTGAAAATGAAGCAAAGAGAAGAAAAGGAGAAGGATGAGGGAAAGAGGGAGAAGAAAAGGGAAGAGGAAGAGGAGGAGGAGGGAAGGAGAAAGATGATGTTGAGAAGGAGGTTGTTCATTTTTTTAAATTTATGCTTTGAGATCAGGAGGGATAAATGTATATTAATTTGGCAATTATAAATTTAGCCCAGTATGACTAATATGATCTAGCTTTAATTTGATGTAAACATGCAACAGAATTTATTATATGAGTATACTCCAGTGACTTTTTCTGGAAGAAAAAAAGCATTAGTTATTTTAAATCTAATAATAAAATTAAGTGAATTTAGTATATTACCTTGATCAACAGTTTTCAGTTTTAGTGAGATTTTGCATTCTTGATCAAGATCACTGAATTCATAACAAACAATAGGAATTGTGCTCTCTATCCTCAACTGGTATTCTTTCCCATCTTCTGATATAGTGCTCAATTCAGGTTGTAACTGGTATAAGAAAATATGTAGAGCAGTTATGTCAGAATATAATTTATTTCTAAGGTATAATTTTGATAGGACATTTTCTCAACAGCTCATCGTTTGCTAAATGAGATGGTAATATCTTGGGCCCTAAAATTTTTTTAACTAAACAAGACTTATTAAAACCAAACCCATAAAAATATAAGCAGAGGACATGGATTAGAAGAATTAACTTTGTGAAAATGCCATATTACCCAAAGCAATTTACAGATTCAATGCAATTCCCATCAAAATACCAATGATATTCTTCACAGAAATATAAAAAACAACTCTAATATTCATATGGAACAACAAAAGACCCCAAATAACCAAAGCAATCCTAAGCAAAATAAATAAATAAATAAAGCCAGAGACATTCTACTACCTGACTTCAAACTGTACTATAAAGCTACAGTAACCAAAACAGCATGGTACTGACATAAAAACAGACACTCAGAACAAAGGAACAGAATAGAGAACCCAGAAATCAATCCACATGCTTACAGCCAACTGATCTTTGACAAAGACACTACAAACATACATCGGGGAAAGGACAGCCTCTTCAATAAATGGTGCTGGGAAAACTGAACATCCATGTGTAGAAGAATAAAACTAGACCCATAACTCTCACCATATACCAAAATCAATTAAAAATAGTTCAAAGATATAAATATAACACCTGAAACTATAAAATTCCTAGAAGAAAACACACAGGAAACACTTCAGGATGTAGGGCTGGGCAAAGGCTTTATGAGTAAGACCTCAAAAGCACAGCCAACAAAGGAAAAAATAAACAAATGGGATTCTATCAAACTGAAAAGCTTCTGCACAGCAAAGGAAACAATCAATAGGGTGAAAAGACAACCTACAGAATGGAAGAAAATATTTCCAAACTATATACTCAACAAGGGATTAATATCCCAAATATACAAAGAACTCAAACAACTCAAACAACTCAGCAGTAAAAAAAACAGTAACCTTATTAAAAAATGGGCAAAAGAGCTGAATACACATTTCTCAAAGGAAGACATACAAATGGCCAACAGATACATGAAAAAATTATCAACATCACTAATCATCAGGGAAATGTAAATCAAAACTACATTGAAATATCATCTTACTCCAGTTAAAATGGCTATTATCAAAAAGGCAGAGAATAACAAATGCTGACAAGGATGCAGAGAAAGGGGAAACCGTTTACACTGTTGGGACTGTAAAATAGTACAGCCACTATAGAAAACAATATGGAAATTTCTCAAACAACTACAGATAGAACTGCCATATGATCCAGCAATCCCACTACTGGGTATACACCCAAAGGAACAGAAATCATTATGTTGAAGGGATACCTGCACTCCCATGTTCACAGGTCTGTTTCCAGGATATGGAACCAACCTAAGTGTCTATTGATGGACAACTGGATAAGGAAAATTTGGTATGTGTATACAGTGGAATACTACTCAGCCATAAAAAGAATGAAATTTTGCCCTTTGCAGCAACACGGATGAACTTGGAGAAAATTATGGTAAGTGACATAAGCCAGGCACAGAAAGAGAAATACCACATGTCCTCAATCATAAGTGGGAGATAAAAAATTAAAAAATAAAAAAGAAAGAAAGACAGGAAAAAAAGAAAGAACAAAGGAATGATCACAATATACACTGAACTTTCAAAAGGAGAGAATAGAACTGTGGCTATTAGAGATGGGAAGGTGGGGTAGTGAGAAATTGGTCACAAAGAATGATTACATTTTGTAAAGATGAATATACTAATTATTTTGATTTGATCATCACATATTGTACACAGGTATTGATATTCAACTCTGTACCCCACAAATATGTATAATCAATTACGTTTCAATAAAAAAAAAGAAGTTGGGAATAATGCTGCTAATAAAAACAATGATGATCTTGTTTAAATGTTTTAATACCTCATTCAGAGCTGTTCTGAGTAAAACTGTATAGTAGTAATTTCAAATAAAGTCTTTGGTGAAAGGTGAATAAATACATATATATAGAGAGAGAAAGGAGTACGTAGAGCATCTGAACTTCTCTGAGTTGAGACTGCATATGGTTCCCTCACACATCTGATTCTGGTTCGGTGTAGGGCACTGGTGAATGGAAGAGAAAGAAACATTCCTATTTTCTTCCATTTATTTGCTAATATTTACTGCCACAACATTGGAAGAGTCTGATTATTCTTAGGGACTAATACCCATCATCTCAATTAGCAATTTAAGTATTTTTAAAACATAAATAAAATTATTGTCGTCACCTAAAACATCTCAATCCTCAGCTTATTTCTCAGCTTCTGCTGTCCACAGTGGGACTTACTGCACCCTGCAGTTTAGGACTGACTGACCCTATTGCAGTTCACAGGCCAATCCTTTTCTGAGACAGGGATTTTTTTTTTATGCAGCTTCAAGTCTTGACTAGCTCTCAAAACAAGTGTTTCTTAGTACTGAATATTCTCTCTATTAGCCTAATCAGAAGTAGTACCTGGGGGCTGACCACTCATCTTTGACATTGTCTATCGAATGCTTATTAACTTAGAACAGGAGGTTCCTGTGTTGCCAAGGTCTGAGCTCTGCTTCTTCTCCACTGTGGTTATGCTATTCTGACAACGTAGTAAACTCTTCTCACTTCTTTTCCTGATCCCTATCATGTATCCATAAACTTTTTTCCAAGAATAGGTTTTATCCTGATCCTCAGTCATATTCTCACCATCTATCAATTTTCCCATCTTGTCCTTGAATGAGGTCAAACTCCCAGATGCACAGTGCTTGCCTGCCTGGACCTCTTGATATTGTTCCCACTCATTCCACTTCTGCAGAATTCCCTGTCACCTCTGCTCATCAGCTAGAGTAGCTCATCAGTTCTCAAACCCCGGTGCAACCAGCAGTAACCAAATATATTTCCTTGTTTAGTTAGCTTGATCTTTGTAGTCCATAAAGCCCAGAGCTCTGGGTCAATTCTACTCTAGTCAGAGGATCTAGTCCTTGGCCTGGTATCTGTCTTCTAGAATGCACAATAACTAAATATTGCTATACTAACTTTTAGTTATGTGATGAAATAAGTTATGGGAATACAGCTTTTGCTTTATTCTAATTGGAGCTATTTCTTAAAAATATGCAAGTGTATCCCAATTTAAGTTCATTAACAGAGGTCCTCAGACTTTGTGCATTACAGTAATTGGGGTTATTCTTCAAAAATAGAGACGCCTGGGTCTCAACATTCTGATTCAGTCTGTGGTGAGGTCCAGGAACCAGTATGGACCCATCACAGTTTGGGAAACACAGTTCCAGAGGAATAATCTTTCTGATCCATCCCCACTGTTACATACCTTAATGCCTGCAAAAAATTCTCGGCTTTTGATGGCTAAACTTTGTACATGCGGTTTCTCCAAGAAAAAGATGGAAGCACTACAGAATATCTATAAATATAATTAACAAATAATCATTTAACAATAAAATTTTGGAGATAATATGTGTAAACTATTATCTTTAAGTTCTTAATTTTAATTCTAGGTAGTGTATAAGAGATAACAAAAGAACTAAATAATTTTAAAAGTTTCTTGAAATCTGAGAAAAATTCCATTATTAAAAATAATATTCAAACTTCAACATAAAGTGTATAGGCTTTGTATTTAAGATGTATCTAAAAGTGGATAGAAAGTGATAAAATTGCTGAAAAAACTTAAAACTTTTTAGAATAAAAGTATATCATCTTAAAACTTGAAAGAGACCTATATTTATAAGGATTCATAAATAATAATCCACAAATTGCTAAAAGAAGATATTCATTGATAACCACCAAGATTACTGACTTATCCAGTTGTCATTAGAATTAGTACAATTGCCAAGGGGAAAAAAAGAAAAAGGAAAACACTAGTGCTTTATATTCTAAGGACAAAATCTATTTTTTTTTCCTTTTTTTTTTTAAAAGATGACCAGTAAGGGATCTCAGCCCTTGTCTTGGTGTTGTCAACACCACGCTCAGCCAGTATATTCTAAGGACAAAATCTATTTCTAAAATATTGTTTTTTAAATTTCATGTTTGAACATCAATATTCATGAGAAGAAAAGAAAATCCAATTTTTTTGAACATACCCTATCTCCAAGTCTGAGGTTTATGCCATCAAGTTCTAGCAGAGAGAATGCCTGAACTGTGGTCTCTTGTTTCAGCTCCTCTTTGATTTCTTGAGAAGAAAGCCTAGACCAAGCTATGAGAAATCCCACTGAGTTGTTTGTAGGGGAAACATCAAAAGCACACCTACAGAACAGTCTGGACTCAATCAACTCCACCGCAACCTCTGGCCTTCCTGGGGGTGGAGGTGGCAATGAGGCAGACAGCTGGCCTGGGGGGAGAAAACACATAATTTGTAGCTGAGCATCTTAAAGAACGGAGACTTGCTTATGGAAAAAGATTATAACTCTGGCTTTTATTTAAGGAAAAATAAAATCAATTTAGAAAAATGATTATCTGTAGCAGTCAACAGAGTAGCACATTCATATTTGACCTCTAATTACATAAATATTGATAAGGAAAAATAAAATCAATTTAGAAAAATGACTATCTGTAGCAGTCAACAGAGTAGCACATTCATATTTGACCTCTAATTACATAAATATTGATAAGGAAAAATAAAATCAATTTAGAAAAATGACTATCTGTAGCAGTCAACAGAGTAGCACATTCATATTTGACCTCTAATTACATAAATATTGATAAGGAAAAATAAAATCAATTTAGAAAAATGACTATCTGTAGCAGTCAACAGAGTAGCACATTCATATTTGACCTCTAATTACATAAATATTGATAGCACAGCAAGTTATCAGCTCACCAAACTTATGCTAACACATATTGCCTGTCTGCCCTTAAAAAGTCTAGCTCTTGGAAATAAAAATAATTTACATTCTTTTAAACAATTAACTTTTTCTAAGACATAAGACAAATAAAATTAAGATTTTTATTCATTATAATTCTTTATTATAAAGAAAAATAGTCACTATAATGTAAACTAAAATAAATTTGTGTTTTACTCTTGTAATTTACTCTTACAACTCAACTCATCATTACTCTGGGTTGACAGAGCTGTTCATTGTGGGGGTGATTATACTGCCTTAGTGAAATAGATTATGTGTTAAACAACAGTCTTATTCTTTTCATTTTTCTGAAGTTAAAGAAACCTGAAGTTTCCTCTAGAAACTCAAAGGAAAATTTCACAATTTTTAACTCTGGGCTTTTGCAAAATTAAATCTGGAGATCTTGAAAGGTTTCTAAACGTGTTTTTGTTTTGTTTTGTTTTGGAAAAGAAAAACATATCTGAGTGATAAATTTTAAAAATGAGATTTAAAAATGCTTTAAAAATGTAAAAATATTTTTTCTGTTATGTGCATGAAAATTTTATGACAATCAAAAAACTAATCTTTCAGTCCTGTCAGGTAGATTGTGGAAAGATCTTAATTTATGAGAAATCTTAATTTATGGTCTCTTCTGTGGGGAAAATGTGCTTTCAGATATATCAAAGTGTTATTTCGTTAGACATTATATTCTGAAGTCTCAAAGACAAATGTATTGTTTTCAAATAAACCTAATTAACAAATATTTGGGTAAACATTTTAAACATCAGGCCAAATCTGCATATCCAAATTTGAAGGAAGTAACAGACTAGTTTTGAATATATATTTGATGTTTTCAAATTATATACCTGCATAAAAGTTTGAATAAAATATTTTTCTTAAGCAATAAACTAGGAAAAGTACATTGAATTTATTTACAAACAGCAATAAACTACCTATGAAAATTATTGTTAGAAATGAGATGACAAATGACTGAAAAAAAGATTCGTGATGATTAAAATTTTTAAAGGAATATTTTAAGTAGAATCAACTATCTGCATGACTTGATCATTGCTTGGAATAATGACGATCAAAGAAAATTTGTTAAAATATATTTAAAGAAAAAGTTTTTTTAAAACAACAGATAAATGATTTCTGCTTTAAAATCACAATTGCTATTCCTTTGTCAATTTTAATATTAGCATGTGCTAAATATGTTAATATGCTTTCTGTTTTATCATAAACCTTATCTGTTGACTTCTGACTCATTATTTTCAGTCAGGTGTTACTTCCCAAATTGTGTACATTTTTTTTTTTCTCCTTTTTTGTCTTTTTTACTGACCGGTAACGGGATCGCAACCCTCAGTGTTGCGCCCGCACTGCGCTCAGCCAGTGAGTGGGAACCGGTCTCCACATGGGATCCGAACCCTCGGCGGGAGCGCCGCCGCACTCCCAAGCAGCGCACTCTCCAGTGCGCCACGGGGCCGGCCCGTGTACAATTTTTTATAGCAGCTTTTTTTCCCCGATTAATTCACTAACATTCTAAATAGAATAACAGGTAGCAAAAATTTAATATTAATTCAAAGAGGAAAAGGGATTTTTCTGTAATACATGTGCATCGTAAGGAAACTTCATACCTGTTAAGCAGAATAGTCAAATAATTATGTTTTATGTTCAATGTAACTATTATTGAGGGGTATTGTTTTATTCTTTTAAGAACTTAAATCATAGGGTCTAATTAAAATAAACCTTTGGATATAATAATTGCTTGTTTAAAGAATAATAGAGAAGTGGACTAGAAAATCTATTTGCAGTTGGAATAGGGCATGGAAAAGCAACTCAGAGTGATTTATTTGGAGGATTATCATAATATTCTTTTAAAAATACAAAGCATAGTAATTTTTAGGCCTGGTATTTGAATCCTATATGCTCTATCCTGATTTATTTTATTTCATTATGACTTATTTTACCACATAAAACACCTTTGTTAATTAACATCTTTGTTAATCAACACTCCATTATTCATATTAAAATATCACATTTGGCTAAAAGGCCCCATGAAAAGGCGGTTTCAATAAATAATTTTAATTCTGCCCATCCATAGGCAGATGTCATGTATTTTATCACTTAGACAGTATATTTAGAATGATTTATTTTAAAGGGGAATTCTTAGTATTTGAAATAACTTTAAAACATTAAACAAAGATAGGAAATGGAAAATATAGATTAAAAAAAAGAAAAATTTTGACGCCATTAACATCTTTGATATTTATCTTTCAAGACTTATTTGGTACAAATGTAATCTTCCTAGAAAACAAAAACGGGATTGTATTGCACAATCTGATTTCTTACCTACAATATACAATGGATATCCACTAATGTCAAAGATTGTACTCTTACATTTTAGCAGTGATTTCAGAATGTTTTGCCATTATTTACACATTGGAAATATTGAATCAAACAGCTATTATTGGAATATTTGCAGAGTTTCTCTTTTCTTCACCTTATTAGAAAAATCCTGTTATAAATATCGTGCTTACACACTTTTTAAAGTAGCTCTCTAACATTTTTGGAAGTAGAATTGCTACGTACAAATACATGTGGATTTTTAAGAATGTTGACATAAGTTACCAAATTTCCTTGTGAAATTTTCTACGGATATACATACATTTGCCCAACTCTGTACCTCTGCCAACTCCAGGACTATTTCTTAAAGGCACATTACAGTTATTTTTATTATTGATTATCCGCCAGACTGTAGCATTGTCAATTATTAATATAATTCAACATCCGAAGCCACAAACCATAAACACGTTGAAATTACTAGTTTATATATATGTTACTTGAAAATAAAATGTGATACTTACGAACACAGTCACCTTCGCTTTCAATTTCATCAGGGCCACATGGGTGCAATTTTGCATCAGAAATAGCTGCAAAAGATTAAGGCTTGTATATTTATTTTACTGGGCATAAAGATATAAATCTACATATATCCAAGATGACAATTCCTTAAAGAACTATGTTTTACTATAGACTAAGAATTTCCTAGCTGTTCTGTTTTTTTTTTTTTTTTAATAATAAATTTTTCCCTTTAAGGGATGAGAGCAAATGCAGATAAGAAACTATATTTCAAAATAATCATAGCTTTCATATCTTGTTTTCTAAATTTGAGTCTGCTTTATTAAATAAAAGAAAACACAGTACCAATACCAATACTGGTACAGATGTGGAGCAACAGGAACTCTCATTCATTGCTGGGAATGCAAAATGATTCAACCACTTTGGAGAACAGTTTGGCATTTTCTTACAAAACTAAACATACTCTTACCATACAATACAGAAATCATACTCCTTGGTATTTACTCGAAGGAGCTGAAAATTTATCTCTACACAAAAACCCGCACATGAACGTTTATAGCAGCTTTACTCATAAGTGCCAAAACCTGGAAGCAACAAAAATACCCCTCAGTAGGTGAATAAACAAACTGTGGTGCACCCAGACAATATGGAATATTACTTAGTGATAAAAAGAAAAGAGCTATCAAGCCATGAAAAACATGAAGGAAACAGATTAATATTACTAAGTGAAAGAAGCCAATCTGAAAAGGCTACATGCTGTATGATTCCAACATATGAAATTCAGAAAAAGGGAAAACCAAAGCGACAGTAAAAAGATTCGTGATTGCCAGGTGTTGGGGGAAACGGAGAATTCTTAGAGCCGTGAAACTACTCTGCATGATACAATAATAGTGGATACATGTCATTTGAAGTTGTAGCAATGTACCACTCTTCTGGAGGATGTTGATAACAGGGGTGGGGGTAGGGCTATGTATGTGCAGGGGCAGGGGGTCAAGAGAAATCTCTGTACCTTCTGCTCAATTTTGCTGTGAAAATAAAACTGCTCTAAAATATATAGTATATTTAAAAAAATAATAATGAAACACATTATAATCTCCAGAAATGTATACAACAGTTGGTTTAGTGTCAGTTCCTTGGTGATTGTTTCCCCGATACTCATTCACAGGATTACACCAATGAGTCAAGAGCAAGGTAGTAATATTTATAACTCAATGCTTTGAATACAGTTAATTGGTCCAAGAGTAACTACCTCCACAAAGGTAGGTTCGTTAGATTGCTTCTTGAAAGAATTTAGAATTTAAACTGAGAGACAAAGAACTGGAAGCCGAGTCAAGTTAGTGATGGAGCTCGATCGGAATGTCTAGACTCCTATTGCCAATATCCTGGAAGCTGCTCTATTCCCCACAAGTCCTGAGGCTTTCCTATTTGACTCTTCCTCAAATTTGATAGCATATCCTAAAACTTACACTTGATTACATTATTTTTAGTTGTTATTAGTTTTGTTACATGCAAACAAAACAAATTTGAAACAATCTTAACATCATATACACATACATGCATGTACATAATTAGATATATATTAAGATGCAGTATTACTACAAAATATGGGGCCAAAACACACTACTCCTGCCCATTTACTCTCCAAAATTATGTAACATCTGTGCTTGAGGGTTCTTTTAGTTTCTGTTGTTTCTCTATTTGCTTTTCCCAAGGCTGCTTTTGTAAGGAATGCAGACAGCATCCCAGCTCAAAGATTTCATCCAGGGATGAGAAAATTAAGAATCCCTAGAAACTATTAGCAAAGAAAGAACAAACCATTTTGTTCCAACCTTTTGATTCTTCCTGATTCAATCACATGCCCATCATTAAACTAACACAAAGTAGCACTTGTCAGGTGAGGGAAGCAAATGAGTGGAAAGCTATTTTCAAAGTATGTGAGATGCACCACACTTGAGCTCTTTAGTACAGCAGTGAAACACTGTTGGATTGCACAACTAATGTGGAGTTAGCACAAGGAAAGCTATTCTCTGCTCCATGCATTTCCTCTTTACAACTTTCCCCTGTTGTTTTCTCTGCCTGGACATCTTATAAATCTTCACTGCTTCACAATACAGATCAGTGACAGGTAGAGCAACATGGTTGAGCATGTGGACTTCCATAAAATAGGTTTTTATTGCATGCATGCTACTCCGTCACACTGGCCTCTTCATGTACTTTCAACATGTTAGGAAAGCTCTTTCCTGGGTGTCTTTGCCCTTGTTCTACTCTGCATCATGGCCACGTGATTTGCTTACTTTGGTACTTTTCTTCCTCTCCATTTTTAAATAGCTTTATCGAGGCATAACTGGATGTATTTAAAGTACAATATATGACATATTTTGATATATGAATACAACTACTAAAGTATAACAACAATGAAGATAATGAAATTTCCATCATCTCCAAAAGTTTCCGTGTTCTTTTCTAATCCTTCCCGCCTGCCACTCCTCCCATCTGCAGACAGCACTGGATACTAGTACTTTCTGTCTTGTTTCCTGTTTTTAACTGATCAGACTGGCTAGAGAATTATTAATTTTATGGAATTTCTCAAAGAACCAGTTTTTTTCTTTTATTAAATTTTCTCTGTTGTGTTTGTGTATTTTTTAAGGTATGTCTGCACTTTATTTTTTATGGAAATGATTGTACATGTCTGTGGGGTACAGAATTGCATATCAATACCTGTGTGCAATATGTGATGAGCAAATCCGAATAATTAGTACATTCAATATTATACAATGTTATTTTTCATGACCCTTTATCGATTCCTCCCTTACTCCCCATCCCCCTTTCCCACCTCTGATATATGTGTACTCTATTTCATTGATTTCCATTCTGATAATTATTTCCTTTTATTTGCTTACTCTGGGTCTCATGTGTGCTTCTCCTAGTCTCTTAATGTACAAACTGAGATTTTTAATTTGTGACCTTTATTGTTTCCTAATACAGATGTTTAGTGGGCTTTAATTTTAATTAACTTCAAATTTTTCTAATACAGTAGTCCTCCCTTATCCATGCGGGATATATTCCAAGACCCTCAGTGGATGCCTGAAACCATGGATAGTCGTGAACCCTATACATATTCTGCATGAATTTCTTTTCTCTTCTTCACAATTTCACAGATAGATGATTCATTCTCACTGTAGAACTTAGCCACCTCAGCATCCAATTTTTTTCTTTTAAAGCCAAGAACTTTCACTTTTTCACTTAAAGGAAGCACTTTATGGCTTCTCTTTAGCATATCTGAATTGCCAGCATCACTATTCTTGTGCTTTGGAGCCATTATGAAATAAAATAAGAGTTACTTGAACACAAGCACTGCAATACCATGAGTGACAATTGCTCCGATAATCAAGATGGCCATGAAGTGACTAACTGGAAGGTAGCTTATACAGTGTGGATGCAAGGGACAGAAGAATGGTTCACATCCTGGGGAGAAGGAGTGAGATGGCACGAGATTTCATCACGTTACTCAGAACACTGGGCAATTTAAAATGTTTGAATTGTTTATTTCCGAAATTTTTCATTTATATTTTCAGACTGTGGTTGATTGTAGGTAACCGAAACCACAGAAAGCAAAACCACAGACAAGGGAGGACTACTGTATTCCAATTTCCTTAATTGAAGGCCCATAATGCAGTTTATCTTGGTAACTATTTCTTATGCACCTGTAAAGTCTATTTTTCTATCGTTCTGTGGAGTCTTTCCTGATTGTCGTTTCGATCAAGTTGGTGGATAGAGTTTTTCTAGTCTCCTGCATTTTTGCTGGATTTGTTTCCACATGATCAATTACTGACAGATGGGTGTTGATCTCCAAAACTAATTGTAGATTTGTTTTTCTTCTTTCAGACCTAACAGTTTTGCTTCTTGTATTTTGAATCTCTGTTATTAGGTACATGATCATTTAGAATTGCTATGTTCTCTTGTTGAATTGACCATTTTATCATTAGAAAATGACCATTGTTTTTCCTGGTAATATTCATTGCTCTCTAACCTACTTTGTCTAATATTAATGTAGCCACTCTACATTTCTTGTGATTAGTATTACCTAGGTACAAATTCTTCTAACCTTATACTATTAAACTCATTTTTCTTTATATTTCAAGTAAGCAGCCTGTAGTTGGGTATTGCTTTTTAATTCAATTTGACAATGTCTGCCTTTTAATTGGAGTATTTGGATCATATATATTTAATGTGATTATTGAGACTATAAAGTTTAAATCCACCACATTCCTATCTGCTTTCTTTTTGTCCTATAAGTGCTTTGTTCTATTTTTCATCTTTTTCTGCATTTAAAAAATTGGGTATTGGGGCCTGCCCGGTGGCGCACTGGATAGTGCGCCGCTTGGGAAGCGCGGCGGCGCTCCCGCCCGAGGGTTCGGATCCCACATACAGACCGGTTCCCGCTCACTGGCTGAGCGAGGCGCGGGAGCAACACCGACGGTTGCGGTCCCGTTGCCGGTCCCGGTCCGGTGCGGGGGCGACACTGAGGGTTGCGATCCGTTGCCGGACACGGAAAAAGACAAAAAAAAAAAAAATTGGGTATTAAAATTTTATGATTTCATTTTATATTCCTGTTGGCTGATGAGCTATAATGTTTTGTTTTATTTTAGCGAGTGCTTTAGGGTTTTTAGTATAGATCTTTAACTTCTCTTAGCCTACTTTTAATCAATAGGACGTGACTTCATGTGGAGTATAAGGACCTAACTGGCCTGCTAACTTGAAATGTTAAAAATTTAAAAAAGAATATGATATATACTTTATATATTTTCTATGGATTCTTCTAAAGAAATAACAATCCAAATATGTAAACCTTTCTGTTTGAATGGCTTTGGCTAAAAATATAATCTTGAATTAATATTTCTTCTATTACTTGGCTTCTAGAAGTCTCTAAGAATAGATAAAATGTGTGTGAAATATATGTGAATCATATATATGTGAATTTTAAGAAGTAAAACATCTTCAAGAGAATATACTGTTAAAATGAAACTTTATTCTCTAATTTTTGCTGTTTTGGTGATTTTTAAATTAAATA